AAATTGTGAACACATTGGATAACCTAGAAGAAATGGACAAATTCCTAGAAACATGTAACCTACCAAGACTGAATAATGAAAAAACTGAAAATCTGAACACACCAATAAAGAGTAAGAAGATTGAATCAGTAATAAAAAATTTCCTCCTATCAAATAAAAACCCAGTACCAGATGGCATCACTGTAGATTTCTACCAAACATTTAATGAAGGACTAACACCAATTCTTTACAAACTGTCAAAAAATTGAAGAGAAGGGAATACAACAAATTCATTTTATAAGGCCAGAATGACCCTGAAATTAAAGGCAAAGACACTAAAAGAAAAGAAAATTACAGGTCAATATCCCTCAACATAGATGCAAAAATCATCAATAAAACACTAGCAGCTGGGCACAGTGGCTCATGTCTGTAATCCCAGCACTATGGAAGGCTGAGGAGGGCCGATCACAAGGTGAGGAGTTCAAGACCACCCTGACCAACATGGTGAAACCCCATCTCTACTAAGAATATAAAAATTAGCCAGGTATGGTGGCATGCACTTGTAATCCCAGCTACTCAGGAGGCTGAGGCAGGAAACTCACTTGAACCTGGGAGACAGAGGTTGAAGTGAGCCAAGATAGCATAACTACACTCCAGCCTGGGTGACAAAGTAAGACTCTGTCAAAAAAAAAAAAAAAAAAAAAAAAAAGAACCACTAGTGAACTATTTTCAACAGTACAGTAAAAGAATAATTCACCATGATCAAATGAGATTCATCCCAGAGATGCAACAACAGTTCAACATGCACAAATCAATAAATGTGATCCACTGTATTAACAGAATGAAGGATAAAAATTATATAATCATCTCAATAGATGCAGGGAAAGCATTTAACAAAATTCAACAATGTTTCATAACAAAAACTTTCACCAAATTAGGTATTGAAGGAATGTACCTCAACCTAATAAAGGACCAGATGTGATAAGCCTACAGGTAACATCATGCTCAATGGGAGAAGTTGAAAGCTTCTGATCAGGACTGAGATAAGGATGCCTACTCTCACCACTTCTATTCAGTATACTGCGGTAAGTCATAGCCAAAGCAATCAGAAAGGAAAAAAAAAGACATCCAAACAGGAAAGGAAGAAGTGAAATTGTCTCTTTTTGCTGGACATACAAAATCTTAAGTACAGAAAACCCTAAAGACTCCACCAAAAAACTATTAGAATAAATGAATTCAGTAAAGTTGCAGAATACAAAATCAGCAAACAAAAATCAGTAGCATTTCTATTTACTAACAATGAACTATCTGAAAAAGAAATTAATAATCCCATTTACAATCACATCAAAAAAACAGGAATAAGTTTCACCAAGGAGGTGAAAGATCCATACAATAAAAACTCTTAAAAGACTGATTAAAGAAATTGAGGATGACATAAATACAGTAATGAGTTACATAATGACAGGAATACATTCTGAGATATGTGCTGTAAGGCGATTTTGTTGTCGTACAAACATCATAGAGTATATTTACATAAACATAGATAGTATAGCTCACTCCATACATAGGCTATATCTCCTAAGCTATAAATCAGTATAGCGTGTTACTGTACTAAATACTGTAGGCAACTGTAACACAATGGTAAGTATTTGTATATCTAAACATAGAAAAGGTGATGTCTTGCACTGCAACACTTCCATGGCTGCGACATCAACAGACGATAGGGATTTTTCAGCTCCATTACAATCTTATAGGACCACCATCTAATATACAGTCTGTCACTGACTGAAATGTCCTTATGTGCCACATGACTGTAAATGGAATGACATCCCAGGTTTATGGATTAGAAGAAGGAGTACTGTTAAAATGTCCATACTACCCAAAGCCATCTACAGATTCCGTGCAATCGCTATTAAAATCCCAATGTCATTCTCCATAGAAATAGAAAAACCTGAAAATTCATATGGAACCACAAAAGACCCCTGAAATAGCCAAAGCAATCTTGAGCAAAAAGAACAAAGGTGGAGGCACCACATTAGCTAATCCCAAATAGATTACAAAGATATAGTATAAAAAGAGCATAGTAGCAGCATAAAAAGACTCACTGTCCAATGAAATAGAATAGCTCAGAAATAAACCCAGGCATTTATGATCAATTGATTTTCAACAAAGATGCCAAGAATACACAACAGGGAAAGGACAGTCTCTTCAATAAAGTATTAGGAAAACTATGCACATATAGAAGAATGAAATTGGACCTTTATTTCACCCCATATACCAGAATCAACTCAAAATGGATTAAAGACAGATGTAAAACATAAAACCTGAAACTAAAACTACTAGAAGAAAACATAAGGGAAAACTTCTTTGACATTGGTCTCAGCAATAATTTCTCGGATATGACTCCCAAAGCACAGGCATCAAAAGCAAAAAATAGACAAATAGGAATGGATCCAACTAAAAGGCTTCTGCATAGCAATGGAAACAATTACAGAGGGAACAGACAACTCACAGTTTGGGAGAAGATATTTGCAAATCGTACATCTGATAAAAGGCTAATATTCAAAATATACAAGAAACTCAAACTACTCAATAACAAGAAAATAAGCTTATTTTTTAAAATGGGCAAAAAACCAGAGTAGACATTTCTCAAATGAAGACATACAAATGGCCAATAGATAAACAAACAAACAAACAAACAAATACTCAACATCACAAATCATCAGGGAAATACAAATTAAAAACATGGCAAGAAAACCTCACATCTGTTAGAATGGCTATTAACAAAAAGATAAAAGATAACAAGTTGGCAAGGGTATTGAGAAAAGGGAACTGTACATAGTTGTACGTAGTTGATGGGAACGTAAATTAGTATAACCATTTTGGAAAACAGTATGGAGGTTCCTCAAAAAACTAAAAGTAGAACTGCCATATGAGCCAGTAATCCCACTTCTGGGTACATATCCTAAGGAACTGAAACCAGTATGTTAAAGGGATATCTGCACTTCCCTGTTCACTGTAGCACTATTCACAATAGCCAAGGTATAGACACAACATAAATCCCCATTAATAGATGAAGGGATGAAGAAAATGTGGTATCCTGCATCTATAAACAATGAAAAACTACTCTGCCTTACAAAATGAGAAAATTTTGTCATTTGTGACAACATGGATGAATTCTGAAGACATTATGCTAAGTGAAATAAACTAGGCACGAAAAAACAAATATGCATGATTTTGCTCCTACATAAATCTTAAAAAGTCAAACTCATAGAAGTAGAACGGTAAAGGCTGTAGAACAGTAGTTACCAGAGGCTGGGTGGAAGTGAGGTGGAGGACAGGGAAAGAAGAGATTGTTCATCAGAATACAAAGCTCCAGTTTAAGAGGATATAAGTTCTAGCAATCCACTGCAAAGTACATTGACTACAATTGATAATGTATTGCATATTTAAAATTTGTTAAGAGTAATTTTAAATCTCTTTACCACAAAGAAATAAGTATGTGAGGTGATGGATATGTTAATTAGCCTGATTCAATTATTCTACAATGTATCCATGTATCATAAAATCACATTTTACCCCATAAATATGTAAAATTATTCACCAATTAAAAATATACACAAAGAAAAAAGAACAGATTCTTTCATTAACAAGCATTTATTAACCACTCCAAATTTAAATATAGAGATTGCTATTAGGTAAACATCAGACCAATGTGGAATAAATGAGGGCCACTGACTTTTTAATTCTTGTTTAATATGGATTTTTCATAAACCTTTTTTAATGTATAAACAAGTGATACATAAAATATATTATTCAAAGTATATTAGGTGCATAATATATACATGCATATAAAATATGTATGCATATATGTATATTTTATGGGCATATTTTATATGCATTAAAATGTTAAATATTAATTCTATTATAGTGAACTATTAAATTTAGCATGGAGGGAATATATTCATGTTTTTAGAAAAATTTTAAAGTCATAATAAATATTCCTATTGTGTTACCAACATACTCAACATTTGTACCAAATTTAATCTTTAACTGCTAAAGAGTTATTTATTCCATGGGTGCTAGAATACCAACTATAATAATTTTATATCTTTCCTGAATGAGACACACTTAAGAAATATATATGTAATTTTTTTTTTAAATCACACCAGTAAATTCTAAATTGGCTGCTTAAGCCCACAGATTCTGCAGGCCATTGATAATCCAACTTTTAATAACTTGTTTAGAAGCACTAGGGAAAAAACAATTTTTTTAATCTCATTCTAAATCATAAAATTTTTTAAAACTTCAAAAACCTCTTTTAATTTACAATATGGGAGAAGAAAATGACCAAATTAATGCCATGAAGCAACATTTTAGCTTTTAACCTTAATATGTCTTTTTATTTTAAAACAAGAATCATTTATTAAATGAAAAATTACATGTTTGTTCTTTTTTTTTTTTTTTTTTAGAGTTTCACTCTTGTTACCCAGGCTGGAGTGCAATGGCGCGATCTCGGCTCACTGCAACCTCCGCCTCCTGGGTTCAAGCAATTCTGCCTCAGCCTCCCGAGTAGCTAGGACTACAGGCGCGTGCCACCATGTCCAGCTAATTTTTGTATTTTTAGTAGAGACGGGGTTTCACCTTGTTGACCAGGATGGTCTCGATCTCTTGACCTCGTGATTCACCTGCCTTGGCCTCCCAAAGTGCTGGGATTATAGGCGTGAGCCACCACGCCCAGCCTCACATTTGTTCTTAATCAAGTGAACAGAATACCAAAGTTTGTACACTGAATTAACACACTTTAAATATCTGTTTAGGGGAAAAGTGATAGTAGCTCTAGCTCGATCACAGAATGACAACTCTTCATTTTGCAAATGTTTTCTAAGTAATGCTCAAATGAAAGTTATTTCTCAGTTATTTTGCAAATATCCCTCTCATCTGCCAAACTACTGTGATTTAATAGGTAATGAAGCAAAATTCTTCAACCTACAGAGATCTAGTTCATTTTTCTTTGTTACCTTTCTTCACAAAAGTCCAACATTATTAGGTCATCCCTCAGTGAACTGGTTTGTTCCTCAACTATTCTCATCCTCTGCTGAAGTACAGTGAATGTTTCAGAAGCTGTAGCATTGATGTGGGTTGGAGAAAGGACCGGTCTGGACACTGTAGTTTCCATATGTACCTAAGAATATAGTCACAATATTAGTGTCATAGGTCCTATTATTGTTCAAAAATAATCACTGCCATTCCTGTGTTAGAATTATGCATCACTGTCCTGTTGAACTCAGGAATGGTCATGTGTCCTGCTTTGGCCAATTAAATGTAGGTGGAAGTTAGAAGAGCCAGCTTGTTCTTCACCATCTCTCTCTTTTCCCTCCTCTATGAGAAGAGAAACATCCATGCACTAGGGTCCCAAGGTGACGATGATATCAAACAGACCCACAACCCATTCATGATATACAGCACAGATGTCCTGACACACAATACACCTATGTTGTAAGCCATTGAGATTGTTGAACAGTTTATTTCATCATAATTTAGCCTATCCTATTTGTCACTATTAGTCACACACGAGGGCCTAGGACTTGCTGAGGGAATGGCTTTTGTTACTAGCCATTTTCATCATAACATTATTAACATACAACCTTCTTGAAAAACATATACTTGGACCTCTGTACAGCTGTCATAAAATAAATGATTTGCCAACTATATATACTAAATTAAAGCAGCAATTTTAAAAAATAATATGTAACTTTAACTTAAAGCATGACCAAAGACCTTTCTACGGCTACCGACATCAAATTTCCACAGACCATCCCCCAAAACCCGATGAAAATAAATAAGAATAGTGAAAATACTCTTTCAAGACATCAGTGACAGAAGCAGAATTAGCTTATATGTGGTCCCAATGTGTAAATGAACCATGTTCAATGACAAGGTAATTGGTGAAAACTTTAAAAACATTTTCTTGCAACTCCATCCTGTATAGACATTTCTATACCAATCATGCTATAAACCTTAGCCATCTCTAGCATTAGTGTTCCTATGGGAACATGTTCACAAGGAAACAGTCAGGGATATCAGGAGTATACCTTTCTACCCACTTGCTATATAATCAGGTATCTCCCTTACCCTCACCTTCCTGGAAGTGAAAGGGGGGTCTACCTCATGTTCAACTTGCTGAACATGGGGTCCCAGGACCCATGGCAGGAATTCATAAAGTGGAGGACTGGTGGCAGGAGTGAAGGGAACAAGAAGCATGGTGGGGGCTATGGAAAGACTGAGCTTCTCACTACAGTGAGCTATGAGTGTGCTACGGCACTCCAGCCTGGGTGACAAAGCAAGAACTTGTCTCTAAAAAAATAAAAATAAAATAAGTCTGGCTGGGTTCAGTGGCTCACGCCTATAATCCAGCACTTTGTGAGGCCGAGGCAGGCAGATCACGAGGTCAGGAGCTCAAGACCAGCCCAGCCAACATAGTGAAACCCTGTCTTTATTAAAAATACAAAAAATTAGCCGGGCATAGTGGTGGGCACTTGTAATCCCAGCTACTCGCGAGACTGAAACAGGAGAATCACTTTTACCCAGGAGGCAGAGGTTGCAGTGAGCCAAGATCACGCCATTGCACTCCAGCCCCAGCAACAGTGCAAGACTCAGTCTCAAAAAAAAAAAAAAAAAAAAAAAAAAA